TTTTAGCCTTGGCCTATTGACATTAGCCAAAACCCACAAAGAGCTTTGGAACCTATCATAAAAATCCCTGCAGCCTCTATCAAAAGAACTTTAATTGGCCTGTTAATTCTTTTATTCTGAAATAAATTAAAATTTTTTAGATTGAAATCTATAAAAAAGATAATTGCCAATGGAATTTGAATTATGATTTGGCATTCAATTGTAGCTGAAACTGATGATAAGTTTTACAAAATGGAAAGAAATACATTTGAACTAAAGCAAAAATCAATAATTAGCTGAGCCATATATCGATCGATATATATATATATATATATATATATATTTGCTATGCATGTCGAAGTTTAGCATTTGAAGAGCTTGAAGCATAAAACTGCTCCAATTAAACATTTCCAGCCTTAGCCAGAGTTCGATTTGAAAAATATTTATGAAAATTCCATTTGAATATGCGAAATTATTCATTTGCGGCATTTGATCAATCAGAAACCGCGGCACGCCCTTGCTGATCCGTTTGGAAATCACATTTCCCAGTTCACAGTCACGGGTGAAGCACATGTACATATATATCTATATATCTATATATCTATATATATAGATATATATACCTATGCTTATGTGCGTAGAAATGCTTCCGAAAGTTCGATCAGTGCCTTTGCCACCGCCAAATCAATTGATTTCAATTTAATTTCCCTTTTGTTTTTACTCGTTTTGTTTTGCTTAATTAGAGACGTTATGCAAATTCGTGGAATCGCATTATGTTCGGGACAAATAGACGGAATTCAATGTATGCCTGACCAATCCGAACAGCCTTTGGCACTGAGGCATATGCAGCCTAGGGCAGGGCGCGTGACACGAGCACGAAAATTGCTCAACTTATTCGATACGTATCGAAAGCGACTTCACGGTTCAGCAATCAGTAAATTGTTGAAAGCAAATAAATATTTTTCGAGTGTTTACCACGCTCCAATAAGCACAATTCATAGATCTAACTGTACTTCAGATATAAGCCCTAAGCTGCCTCTCTATTATATATATATGAAGTACAATATTCATCAAAGTTTTCGGTGCTTAGTTTGACATGCGCTGGACACGCGCCCATTGCTAGCCGCGATTAACCCGCCCGTGGCCCGCGGCATTTTTATGACCCCAGTCGTTTGTCTCTATATTGCGATCTGCGTTCAGTTTAGCCGACAGATCCAAATTTGTAGTTGGAATTGGCAACAGCCAGCGCAACAGTTCATATTTATTTATAAGCATATTTCATTGAGACAACAGACGTGGCGTTTTATTTGTTTACGATCTGACCCCATAGCCGAATGGTATACATATAAATGTATATATATATGACCAGCATATGTAGGACACGAAATACCATATCGATTGCAGTGTGGTGCAGTGGTGCAGCGGCGCTCACATCGTCATCATCCACGACGATAATGATTAACACGCAACTCGCATTTTATACGTGCTTCGCGCGAATCATCTTGAACTAAATTGAATGAATTGAATGTCGTTCCTGTTATCTGTCCAATGCGACTGACCTTACTGATTTGCCACTTTCTAGCAGACGCCGTTCCATATAGTACAGCTAATCGCATCTGAGCTATTCGCATCTGTGAGATTTGAGAATTTATGTCTTATGCATCAAATATTTATGGCTATGTTTTTGTAGTCACAAACAGGTGATGAGCATGAGCATGAGCATGAGATAATATCTGAGGCAAAACATGTTTATCATAATGAAAGCCGTAAATAAGCCAAATGTGGCTCAAATGCTCGAGTTGCTGAAGCAGCCAAGGGAAAACAATGCGAGACGCAACGCACGCACTAAGCACTAAAAAGCTTAGACAATTATATTTACAAGGTCATAAAAGATACTTGGGCCTGATAAGATAGACTCCCAGTGCTTGACAAATCTTTGCCCAGAGCGTAATGGAGTCTCTGACAAATGTTGGCATAACGAATTGCATCCCTTGACACAGTTGAGCATCCAGCGAGTGCAAGGAATTCAAGAGCAATCGAGACAGCAAATGGCAATTGCTGACGCCAGGCCACGCAGACCGCGTCTAGTCCCAAATGCGTGAGCTCGCAAAACTTATCGTCGAAAGGCCAAAGCTATTACGGCATTGAGCTAGGGTGGACCACATTCATGGGTTAGGAGCAGGGGGCAGGCTGGAGCTGGAGCTGGCGCTGGCGCCGCGACGTCCTGTCGCCTTGCTGAGTATTGGAATTGCAGCTGACAGCGTGGGGCGGCATATGGTAGACTGCTGAGTGGCTGTGGGGCTGTGTAACTGTGTGGCTCTGACATCGATCCAAGGACAATGCGCCCAATGGGAATGAGAGCCTAAAGAGAGCAGCAGCAGCAGCAGCAGCAGCTGACGCATGTGGCAAGCGTCAGGGTCGCCCCTCGAGGTGACCCACTTATGCAAGAGCCAATAGACTGCCTGGGCATGGAGTGCCAATTGGGCTGAGACCCTTTTGGCCTTGACTCAGGCAACGAAATTTCGCCGACTAAAATTGCAATTCCAGTTAAAGGTCTTGGCCGCAGGCTCTCATTCTCTCCCGCTCTCTCTGTCTCTTGCTGTTTATCTGCCAATTGTCGCGCTGGCAAAAGCGATTTCTGGTTTGCCATAAATGGCTTTAGCTTGTGTGTCTATCTTTGTGGGTTTTGGATAAGATAACTAGCCTCGCCGTTTAAGGTGCAAACACTTTTATATCGGGCGCTGATAATACTTGAAGAAGTACCTTGAATTGGCTTGAGTAATGCCCTACCTTCCAGACGCATATTCATATTCCATATTCAAATTCAGTTTGAAGTCAGTTGATGACGCTATGACAATGACTCATTGCCGTGCTCAATGAATCGTGAGATTGGAATTGCCGTTAGATGTGACTCGTATAGACATGCCATATCCATGGCCATAACCGTATAAGGCATGCAAATGGTATTTGGCGATTTCTGAATTGCAGCGATAAATTCGTCATTCGATTTGCATATTTCGATCGTCTTTAACAACGTGCACGTAATTTGAAAACTAATATTAACTTTTCTTATGGCCAACTTCTTTATCGTAGACAATTGGGATTCCAGCAAATCAATTTCGTCTCTTGATGTCTGTGCAATTAAACATTAGAGCTGTCTTTATTACTATTGGCTTTTCCCCTTTCTTTAAAAGCTAAGCAGTTAAAAGCCAGATAATTGATTTACAGCTCAGTTGCCATTAGGCTCGTAGCGAAAATGAAAAGCCAACTAATAAAACGTGAGATATTTGCTCAAGGCAGTGAGGTCTTCTACTCATTTCTGTATACTCAACTGAAGTCTTCTATCGACTTCATGGAAGTTGCTGATTAGTTATAGAAAATATTTGATCTATGTGTGACCTAAGCTTGTCTTAGAGATATAGATCAGATATGCGAAAGGAAGGACGGACGAATGGAAGGAAGGACGCACGGAAGAAAGGACTGAAGGTCGCACGGATAGACTGAAGGACTGAACTACGGATGGATAGACTGAAATACGGACGGACGATGGATGTAAGGATGGACGGGTGAAAGAACGGGAGGACGGACGGAAAGGCTGACGGGAGGACAGATGGAAAGACATACGGAAGGACGGAGGAGAGGACGGACGAAAGGACGGAGGAAAGGACGGACGAAAGATCGGACGAAAGGGCGGACGAAAGGACGGACGAAAGAACAGACGAAAGAACGGACGAAAGGACGGTCGGAAGGACAGACGAAAGGACCTACGAAAAAACTGACGGAAGAACGGAATGCAGGACGGACTGAAGGACGGAAAGACAGCACTCAATTGCCTTGGCTGTTGCTGCTTCTTCAGTATTAAATATATAGTTTATCGAATACCTCACGCTGGCTGTATATTCATTTAAGTATTATGCATAAAAGTATTATGACCTGAACTCCCCTTTACAATAGGCTTAGAATATGTTAATAGACACGTCTATCTGCTGACTGAAGCTTGAAGAATAGATGGTTTTATAGTTAACTACTCTAAATACCTTACACGACCTTACACTCACTATGACTAGTCTCAGTCTTTGGAGAAATGGTGCTAATTTAGAGAGTTTAAACAGGCAGGAGAATAGAAGCTAGTTTGACTTGGCTAGAAGAGCTAACAGCTTCAAGTGTATTGCACTCTTTTGGCTCTTATTACCATGACGTGAGGTCAGGGCCACTCAACCACTCCATCGTCTACCAAATGGTGCTATTTAAGCTTAGTTCACTGTTGATGCTTAATGAGGTTCTTGGTTCTAAATGAACTTATTTGATCATTAATTTATTTAACTATTTTTATAATTCGTTTTAATTCATTCAATGCGGCACCTCCAACTCTTAAACTACATTTCTGTAGACGAACTCAGCTGTGTGACTAATTTATAATCTCCCAGATTAGAGCTAAATGTCATCAGCGTCATAGAGTCAATAAAACTAAGAGCATTAATCAGCAGGAATGAGACATGCTTAAAAGAAATTAATGACTAAAGTTAAGCAAGAATGATTATGAGGCAAAAGTAAGAATGGGAAAGGCTAAGGATTCGTGTGGCAAGGACTCATGTGGCTAATTATATTAGATAAACGAAAACTAATTGGCATTAACTAATGTGTATTGCCTGAGCTGATATGTAGCTACAGTTGGCTGTAGCTGTAGCTTGCCCTGGGTCAAGCCTTGTTGTTGCCGGCATTTCCTGTCAAGGTAGGCGTTGTTTGCCCATCAATGGGTTCCGCTCTGTTTCGCCCTTTTCGCAAGTCAATTTCCTTAAAAGTTGTAGATCATATGACCTGGGCTTGCTGTTGCTGACTTCTCAGTATCGTGAAATGGGGTGTGAGTTTTATCAATTCCAATTAAGAGCTACCCCATGTCAACAAGTAATGTAAATATGTTGTACACTCGAGAGTTAACAACTTGAACACATGACTCACATATGTGAGGTGACGCGCTGGGGTTTCTATCTAAAGCTCACTTTCAATTGGTTCGCTTTCAGACATTTGTCGTGCGTCACCGATTGGCGGAGAGGATGCCCCACTTTCGGACTACCAGGACGATGATTATGATTACGATGGCGAGGACGAGTCGACAAACTCAGAGGGGCCGCCCGCCGAAATTGTGGAAGAGGTGCAAAGCGAGCCGCCCTACTTTGAGCAATCAGATGTTAGCATCGAGGCCAGGCCAGGTGATGATGTGATCATCAATTGTGATGCACGCAACTTTGCAAGTACGTAGATCATTTCAACTGGCTTCCATATAACTCATTCGCCTCCGATTCACAGTTAAGAACATTGCGCTGTGGTACAAGAATGCCACACTCTTGGCCACCGGGCAGAGTGCGATCAACAATCGTGTGGAAGTCATGAAGAACAACTCGCTGCGCATTACGGGCGTGACGAAGGAGGATGCGGACGACTATTACTGCGAGGTGTTGCCGCAGAACGTGAGGCAGCATACAGCGCTACGTGTGGGCGCCAAGCTGTCGATCCTCTGCGACGATCGCGATGCAACGGATCGCTCGCAGACGTTCAAGCAAGGCGACCGACACAAGCTCACCTGCCAAACGTTCCTGCACACCAAGACAGACATCAAATGGTCCTTCAATGTATGATCGATGATTGCATCGAAACCATCCTCCAACTGTGCCTCATTCTAAACTCTCTCAATCCCTTCCCTATGCAGGGTCAGCGGCTGCACACATCGGAGAAAGACGCTGCCGAGGGCGTCGTAGTGCTGGACAATGTGGACGAGGAGAACGCTGGAGTGTATCAGTGCCTCGGCGACGATGGCAGCGCGGATCCACCACATGGCATGGTCACCATCGATGTCCAGTACAGCCCCAAGGTGTCCACCCATCGGCATCACGTCAACACTATTGAGGGCGACACTGCGGAGCTCTACTGTGACTATCGCGCCAGTCCCATTGCCATTAGCTTCTTCATCAAGGACGGCAAGACGCTGTCCCTGTCCGAGAAGTACTCGATCAAGAACTCGCTGCACAAGGAGCACAATCGCACCACGCTCATCATCAAGAATGTGGAGGCCAGCGATCTGGGCGAGTATCTGTGCCACGTTGAAAATGCCATTGGCTCCAATGAGGTGCGCATCCAGCTGAGCTATCACCCCGAGACGCCGCAGTTCGAGAACAGCTCCATCAATGGCAATGAGATCACAATGCACTGGCTGGTCCGCAGTCTCCAGCCTCTCTCCGAGGCCATGCTGGACTACAAGCTGTCAATGGTGGGTTTCACTTAGATGGAAAGTTCTTTAAAGCAATGCTGACTTATGAAACAACATTTCAATTTCGCAAAGTCTCATGGAGCATACGCATTTGGGTCTCATATGAAACTATGTGAAATTGACTTTCTATAACTAATTTGTCTAACAACTCTATGCATTCCACAAGAGCCTGAAGGAATTCCAGGAAATTTTAGCCTGAGCCAAAGACTCCTATTAATTACCTTCACTTGCAGTCGTATACGTGGAGCACGGTATCCATCATACACACACAGCGACACGACAAGGACAAGGGCATCTGGAAGATCACACATCAAATGGAACTGACGCCTGGTCTGTGGCATGCGCGCATCAAGACAAAGAATACCGAGGGCTGGTCCAACTTCTCGCCCGACCACGACATACTCATCAAGGATCAAGAGGGTAATCCAAATGCTCAGCCATAAATTTCAGTCATTAACTGATTCGTTCCGCAGAATCCACGGAAATCGACGACGGAGTTGTGCCACCGGATGACTTGGTGCGCGCGGGCTTTGGTGTTGGAGCTGGCTCCAAGAGCAACTCGGCGTGTACGATGCGAATGCTGCCCGCAGTGATGCTAGTCGGAGTTAGTATAGCTATGCTGCGACTCTAAGGAGACTACGATGCAGAGAACAGGGCCGTGGCGACTGTATATACGTGTTTCTCGTTACATGTTTTGCTTGTGCTGTGCCTTGAACCCGGCAACTGGCAGTAGCAGCTTACCCATAAGAAATGCCATTGCACGAAACCGAAAGAAAGAAAATACCCAAGTATTCTAATTATACATGCAAATGCTAATGCGCCTCAAAGGCCCCCACGCAAGGGGGCAATGTTAATGTTAATCTAAATTCAATCAAGCATAGGCATAATTCACTAAAAAACACTTGTGCCAACTACCATAAACAGCAACGATATGGACGATACGGAAGGGAGCTTAGTTTAATTAAAAGTTAAGATGGATTACTGCGACGATCGGTTGAAAACCGCCCAAAACTTAGCATATAATATTTATTTGTTTGTATGTACGGATAGTTAACACTGAAGATTTCTAGAATCCAGCAAATAGAAGGAGATTGAGAATCACATACACGCACACATGCCTGAACTAAGGCTTACGGGAATGTAAATAAAATGAGGGCAAGTGAGGACCGAGTGACGTGTGGGCCGATGATGATCATGGGAATAGGAAAAACTTTTTATTTAATCATAATTTTTCGAATATTGTGAACTTTTGAAATATTAAACGATAACTAGACCAAAGCTTAAATATACATGTGTACCTACCCACATACATACATATGGATAAAATGGATTGTTATATAAGGAAGCAAGGAAGCAGGAAGAAACCCGGATGATACTTATTTATAGTTAAGAGATGAGTACTTATGTAATAACTACGAATATCTATAATCAGGTGAGGAGGAGAAGTTAGTCGCTTATTCATTTGGGCTTCGATTGAAATTTGTTCGCTACAATACCTGAGAAATTGCCATGCAAAACGCCGACCATACAGTTCGATGATATATATATATATATATATTTATGTATATGTATATATATTCACATACAATCAAAAAGGAAAATGATATGAGAATATATATTTTGTATACTTATATTTTATTTAAGAAATCATAAGATTAGTATTGACAAGAAATCAAGAATAAATGTGCCAAGATTGTTGAAAGCAAAAAGTTCCATACAAAACTTTGCCAAGTGCAAAACTTTATTTCGAGAGCCGACCTGTTAAACAAACATGAGAACATATTTAAAAGCCAGTGTCTTAAACAAATATTGTAATGTTTTCTCCTTTAATTTAGTTAATGCGACGATTAAGAATATATATATACATACCGAAATAAATAAAGCAAAAAACTCTTCATTGCACTCTTATTGGATTAATCGGGTCCAAGATTTAAAAGAAATTTTTAAGTTAAAAATATTTTTAAGTGTGGGCAACTCAACTTCTGATTTACTTAGAAACAAGCCAAGAGTTCTTCAGTGAAATCAAAGAGTAATTTTGAAAAGTGTAACTCCAATAAGATTTGTATCTAACCTGAGAGTTAAGGTGTCAGCTGCCTACCTCCATTTGAACATTGCAGCTAACAGATATATTCAAAAGACATGCAAAAATTTATTATTAATAAAACTGTTCAGATTCGAAATCACTAGTAAAAATTCAGACAGAGTAATTTTAGTATAGACTAGTGACAAAATCCTTGTTAAGCAATTTTTATTTATAGTTAAATAACATAACATTTAAGCTCAATATGCTCAGCGACTGATCTTGAGCTGGTTCAATTCAGTTCCTTTGAATTCAGTCAATTCTTTATCTTGTAGTTCGCTACGGTCCAGAAGCTTTATTTTTGATATTAACGAATTTCGAGTTGAGTTGGCTTGAAACAAAGTAAGAATAATTTAATCATTTAATTTAGTGCATGTCAATGTTAAATAAATCGAAGAAATTAAAGACAAAGAATCTACACTAATTTCGAATATTTTAGAAATTAATCAAGAATTCTTAAGCCAATTCTTTTTTAAGACTTGAATTTTAAATTTCAATTTAACACATTAAAAAATATAATTTTTTAATAGTATTTCCATAGCTTTCCTTATTTGAGTAGCAATGAAAATAGTTTAAATTTCTGTATACTTTGGTTTTTAATAAATAAAATCGTTTGTCTTTACAGAGCAGCAAAATGCACGATTAACAATTACTTAAGCTTATTGGAGACAGAAGGAGAGAAGGGGACAGAAGACAGAAATACAATTTCAGCTTATCCTTGGACACTTTGCGTTTTGTTTTTTTTTTTGTTTATAAAGAAGCACTGCTTAATACTAAACCTAACTAATGTTTGAGCTGATGCGCCAGAGCCAGGCACGCGGACAGCAGCCACAGGAGCGCGAGCCGTTGCAAACTGTTCTGGCCGGACCGAGAGCTCTCCGGCGTGATGACGTCCAGCGAGTGATCGCCCAGCACGACCTTTGTGCTGACGAAGACATTCTGGGGCAGGATCTGGCAGCTGTACGTGCCAGCGCTTTGCGGACTAGCCTTCAATATGGTCAGGTCGAAGTTCTTCGGATTCAGACTAAAGTTGGGCAGCACCACGCTGCGGTCGCTCGTAATCATCTTGGAGTCCTGGAACCAGAGTATGACATTCGCTGAAAAGAATAATTCGATTAGCTGCGATGGCCCATCGATTCGCCTGGAAACCTACCCTCGGTAATGTTCTCATCACACTTCAGCACAACATCTTCGCCCAGTATGCCCGTCTTGGTCAGAGTCCGGTTGACTAGCGGCAGGTAGGCATTGGCAACACCCGTTGGCTTCGTCTGTGGACTGGGCGCACTCGGCTCGTCGGTATCGTAATCGTAGTCATCATTCAGCATTAAGTCGTGGACATCCGTCGTTGATGGGAAGCCTAGAAATTATTGAAATTTTAATTATTATTTGAAAAACTTTCATAAAAATCCCATTTGTCGCCATAAAAGAACTGAGCACTAAAGATTTGCTTTAATAGGCCACAGAACGCAGTCGACATCCCACACAAAAGCGTGGGTGGCTCAACCTTGAATTTCAAATCATTTACGATCTGATTAGCTGAAGTTTTACGAGCGCATTTGAACTGCAGCGCATATTCAGAATAACAAAATTATTACTATTTGGTAAAAACAATGGAGCGATAAAAACAACCATGAAATAGAAACAAAGAAAAACAATAACAAAAACAAAACTTGATTGTTTGCGTGCTGCTTGCAGCTGTAGATGGACTTGGCTCATTACGACCCACATTTCCTGCTAGCTAAACATTTGAGCACTTGAATCAAATTGAAATTCAAACCGGAAAGTTTTTGTTTTGCCAATGCATTATGGCCACTCATCAGGCGGTGTTGATGATGCTGTTTGTTTAAGCACTTATGCACATGTATGTGGATATAGATGAAGATAGGAAAAAGATGGGAGTATATACAAATACGGAAACGGATATGGAAAGGGATAGGAGTAAGAATGCGGATAGGGATAGGGATAGGAATAGAGATCAGAATAGAGACAGAGATCAGAATAGAGATAGGGATAGGGATAGGGATAAGGATAGGGATAGGGATAAGGATAAGGATAGGGATAGGGATAGGGATAGGGGTTGGCATAGAGATAGGTATAGGGATAGGGATAGGGATAGAGATAGAGATCAGAATAGAGATAGAGATCAGAATAGAGATAGGGATAGGAATAGGGATAAAGACAGAGGTATAGATATATGTCTAGATATATATAGACACATTTGTAGATACACTTTCAGCTAAAAATGTAGATGCGGGTGCAGATACAGTTGTAGATATATTCAGATACGGCTACAGATACATTTGCAGATAGATATATAGATATAGATGCAGACGCAGATACAGATATATTCAGATATAGATACAATATCAGATATAAGTTCAAACATAGATACGTTTACGCATATATCAGATACATATGCATATACAGATACAGATACGTTTGCAGATACAAATGCAGATACATTTAAGAGATATAAATTCAGATGCATTTGCAGATATTCAGATATTCAGATACAGATACATATGAAGATAAAGATGCATATATAAATGGAACTGCAGAAAAAGATACAAATAAACATACAAGTTGAGATATAAATGCAAATTCAGATGCAGATGCATAAACAAATACATTTGCAGATATACTCAGCTACATAGACAGAAGCAGATATATAAATAGATACAGATACAGATACAGATATATATATATATGTATAATTATATATGTGCTGATGCAGATGCAGATGCAGATGCAAATGCAGGCAGAGATGAAGCTGCAATAAAGATACAGATACATTTACTCGCATACAGATACAGATGTAGGGATACAGATACACACGCACAATCAAACATATATTTGCAGATGCACACACACAGATACAGTTGGCAGATCCGAGCGCAGCTGCGCACGGTCGAGTTAAGCCAATTCGCATATTTTTGCACGCGTTTCACATTCCCAAATATTCATTGCTTCCTTTATAGCGTGCATAGCATATATATGCACATGCGTGACGCGTGTGTGTGTGTGTGTGTGTTTTGTCAAAGTGGAATGGAAAAACATTTCACGGAAATGGGGTCAAATGAAACTCGGGTGCACGGGCCATACGAAAACGCACAGGAAAATTAAAATAAGCGCATGGAAAGAGAAAACACTGCGCCAGCCGACACCAAAAACCCAACCCCAACCCCGACCCCAACCCCAACGCCGGGCCGTGTCGGTCGGCCGATCGCCGCACCCACATGTGTGCATACGCTTGTTGACGGCATGGCTTATGCGGACAGTAGCTGCTGCCACTGCCACTGTCACTGCTGCTGGCGTCGCTGCCGCTGCCGCAGTCAACTTCGCCGTCGGCGTCACTTTGTGCTACTTTGTTTTGGTGGTGTCGACAGTGGACACAAAATCGAATAACATTTCACAACAATGTCCATTTTCACTCTGGCAACTGCAGTGCATGGCCAGACACACACACTCCACACACACACACACACACACACATGGACACATCACACCCTCGCTCCTCGAGGCAGACAAAGTGTCGGGAGTAAAATTGGAAGAGGGAAACATTTTGACGATTGTGAAAAAGTTTAAATTTACATTGTATTTCGCTTCTGCCATTTCTCTCTGTGTGACTGGCTGCATTATGGTTGTTGCTTTTTCTTTTATTATTTTCTTTATTGTATTATTCTTTGCCACACACGCACGCACACACCCACACACTCGCACACACACTTTATTATAGCCAGTTTTGTCGCCGCCGCTGCTGCTCAGCGTTGCGTGTTGAAATTGTTAGTTGTCATATAGATCGGACACTGGCACAATAACAAACAACTGATAAAGTTGATACGCAAATGCACGACTAGTAGAATACCCTAGAAATTTATTGCAATTAACTTAACTGCGACTAAACTCTTAACACTCTAAACAAAACTGCAGCAATAGGTATACATTTTACACATGCTGCAGGGTATACCCATTTATGCATGCTACAGGGTATTTACGTGCCGAGGGACTCTAGTTTTAGTAGCTTAATACGGATATGGCAATAGCCATGTGCCAGCATGTAGTTGACTGAACTCGCTTGAGTTTGGGCAGCAGCGCCCGCCCTCAATTTTAAAATAAATTGAAACTCTTTTTTTTTGGATGTAATTTCCTTCATGATATAAAGCGAACAGACGCATTGACCCCATCGACTTCTCTTGTCGTAAACTTGTGCCATTAACACAAGTAACAATAATAAGAAATTGTTGCCGCTTCCCAGAAACGGGCGCAACAACAATGGATGGTTGCAGTTGAAATATGTCGAAGACATAAGGCCTAGCCGCTGCTCAAGACATTTGCGCTTTGGTCAAGTGTGGAAACATGTGCCATTATTATTATAATGAAGCACGGATATTTTATTTATTTATGCAAAAAAGTTTATGCGAACTTAAGGCGGATATCTTTTGTTTAAGTAGAAGACAAAATAAAAATAAAATTCAAATTTATAATCGAAAAAATA